GTGGGCCGGCTAAGACAATGAAACAGCTAAACAAACTTTTTTGTCTGTAATAATGATTTGATTAATGCAAAAGGGTATAAGCATGAATATGGTTTGAGTGAGAAAGAAGTTTGTGTTAGAATAATGAAAATCTGAAAGGGATAGAATAGAAAAAGAAGATATACTGTGTCAATTCCAAGTGGTTTAAGTTACCATTAGAGAAGATTAAATTATTGATGTTTTAATCACCTACATTAGTATTTGGTTGGTGTACACAAATATTAATATGTACACAAATATGTAACTTTACATAGTCAAATATAATGAACACCTGTTTTTCACAGTTTCAGACACCTGTAACCATAGTACTTGAAATGATAGGTTTCAGTAAGGATACAAATTCACAGGTTGCTGTGAATTAATTAATTTAGCGCTCATTTAACAGCACTATTGACAATTAAGCTTCTTTAAGCTTACAAGCCTGTTTCCCTAAAGCCTAACTGATGGTAGGTTCGATAGATAACTTCCTTACAAAATGTGACAATGAATTTATATTTTTTTGATTTTGATACTTAATAGGACTGGACATTTGTTGTCTTAATTAAATAAATGATAAGGATACTGACACATATTTAAATTGAAAAAGAAGTCTGAAATTCCTTTTTTGGATTAATGAAAATTTAATGTAGAATTATTTATTATATTTACCGTAGAGTTATTTTAAACATATTTGGTATAGTTACAGGATGACCATTGGGTAACAACAAATAATAATTTATTTTGAGGTGAACCTAAAGGATTAGTCATATTGTAATCTAAGTTTAATGTACCTATGTCATATTGGCTTTAAATTGTTTTTTTTACCATTATTAGACTATCAATTCAATATACAGTATAATAGGTACTCTGTAGGATAAATAAGTACCCAATAAAAAGTGTAAAGTATGTTAATGTTTTATCAACAGAATTAAATGTATATATTGCAAACTTTTTGCAACATTTCTGTCACAATCATAGTTAATGTTAGGTAATAAAGTATTAAATTGTAAATGTGTAAAGAAAATGGTAATAAAGTGACAAATTCTCATTCACAATAGTTCTAACTGTACTGTTTTATAGGTGGACTTATTAGCAATTTAAATAAACACAGCTAAACTATGCCTAGACATGGACTTGGTGAACTTATGCCTATAACCATTATTTTGTCATTTTAACTCCACACTGGAGCCTCACTTAGAACTTTTCATTAAGCAAAATACATATTATGTTTTCCTAAAAAAAGTAAAAGAGCAAAAGTTAAAGTTTTCATACCACTATTGGATATCTAAACATGGCCATACAAGTTGCTCTGTAGAGCGTCTTCCCTCTCGCACGCCTAGAGCCGGCTATACATCTCTCTCCCTCACTCCCTTCACTCCATGGATAAGAGAAAGTAACAAAAGAAAAATAACACATCCCAGCCTCAATACATAGTAGTAACTGCATCCGCATTTATGGTAACTCACTTACACATTAGAAATCATTACCAAAACAAATTATATAATTAAAGGTCTGTGAGTCAACAAACAAATTCTACACCTTATTATAACCTATACCCCTCAAATAAATATGCTCACAACTTTCGCAACGATGCCGTAATTAAGATATTAATAGACGTTACATATATAATCACAGATGTGTACAATATATAAAGTAAACATAAACAGGTAAACTAACCCTTTCTTCATGAGCCACCTCTGTTGGCCCCAGTTGATAAAAGAACGTTCCAATGAAGAAGACACTCATCCATTTTACGATCACTCATCTATTTACACGATTTATATAATTTATGTTTGCACTACTTGTCACAATCAAACTAAAATTCCACTTTTTGCTGCGCTAAACGCAGACGTCATTGACAAACAACCGAAGTGACGAGTTATTGCACGGGATCACATAGTAGATGAAAACACTGCGTATTTTATGAGCCATTGCATCGATATATCACAATTCTTATCACTTGAGGTTATTACATTACTAATCACTTCGTCTACATCAGTTATTTATAAAAATAAAAAGGTAAAAAGCAAAAATTACTCGTAGACAGCACTCACGACGTCGCACACTCACTAACGTAACATGCGATTTCGTTCACACACACACACAACTAAAGTCAAGGTGACAGTTGGGCGCTAGCGTCGTAAAAGTCGGTCCGATTCCAACTTAATTCTTTTGACTATTGCAACACTGAGCTAGAATTTCCGTACTGTAAGGGCTCTTGAATGTGAATCGGACGAGATAATCTTTTTTCCGCGATTTCAATAATAGTCCTATCAATGAAAATAAGTTTCAATACGCACCTAAAACTTTTAAAGAATTATTTCATAAAACTTTTAAAAAGATATCCATATTCAATCAAAGCTGCAAACTTCCCCTATACTTTCCTCTTTGGCTGCAAACGTAGACGTTCATCTAACCATTTTTGGAATGGATAGCAAGCAACGGTTATTTTTCTAGTCATATTTAAAATTTTTATTCATTAGCTGTTTTTTTATTGAAATATATAACTATTTATAGTTGTTTACTAAAAAGCAGTTGACTGGATAGTTACCTACATTTTACTTCTGAAAATACTTTTTCATTCTCCACTCGCTTAATCATTTGGATTATCCACCTATTAACTTTGCGTATGATTATGAAACTTACACGTTTTATCAATAGGTGGTCATAAATATTCACATGGTCGTTTTGTCAAGTTTTTATTAATTTCCAGGATCTTCTTGGAGTGTATAAAATTACCGATCCAAACGCCATCAATCAACTGGGTGTCCATTTTCAGGAATCTTCTGGGTAGGTTCAGTACCTACCAACTTAGTTATTGGGTAGGTGTTACTCTGTTGTGATGAATCTATTGTTCTATCTTATATATTGTTACAATACCTATATACTTATGATTGAACTAAACGGTAATTTATTTTCAGGGTAGTCATACTTACGTCTCTAACAGTAGACATGTGTTCAATTTGTGATGAACGTGCTTGTTACGTTAGATAAATACGTGATGGAGCATTCGTATCTATCTCTCTAATTCTTATGAGAATTGGCCACATTTTAACTTAAGTTTGACTTGAATCATGCCCGCTTGCGGACCACTGACGCCACTATACACATATCCTTCGTGTGTGGAAAGTCAATTAATTATTTCAGGTTCCTATTAATTCTTAATTTAGAGATCATTGTAACTCAGGATAAACTTCAATTTCATAATATCAAATACTATGTAATAGAATACAAACTCAAGTTAACTTCCATACTCTTTCATACTTACGTATTCCCCATACAATATACATGCCATTTTGGAAGGTACCTTTACTTCTTGCAGTACATGATTTACAACCACAAAGTAATAATAAAACAAGTCTTCATTAAATATATAGTTTTATTAGAAAATGAAAACAAAATCCCTTACACTACCTAAATAAGGCACGACGTGTTCTAACAACCGCGAGGGTTGGCGCCCGCACTCAGCGCGACCTCACGACAGCGGGGAACAAAGGTTCAGCACAATATGCACATAGACACAAAAACAAACAATCCTGTACATATACATGCTTACAAAATATACAATTATAATGCCACTGCGCTATCTTTTATTGCTGGTTACACAAATACTGTAATTTGGGCGGACAACATCGCTGTATAGACAATTAGACGCTAACTTTGTTCAACAAAATAACACAATATAAAGCATCTGAAACAAGGACGAACAGACGTCGGATATACAAGTTCCTTAACACCGATATGTTATATTAAATTGATTGATATACAAGTGATAGGAAGCCGAGGATTCGTATAACATTTAATTATCTTTAACAGTACAGTAACACTGAAATTTACACAATTTACAACAGAGTATTTATATAAATATACATAAAATTTGTGCTTTAACGTGAATGTGAGATAAAAGGCGCAAAATTTCGATATATTTTTTGTTTGTTTACATTTTTATTAAAAATATCTATGTGTCAAATGTGCCGTGTATACAACTTTCTATATTAGTATACAAAGGAGCGTTACATTAAATAGTATATAGTATAATTTTATATCTAAAGCGTGATTAAATTACATGTCCCTATATGAATACAATCTCTAGTTGAAACAAAATGCAAAACTCTTACTATGAAATAAATTACTAAACCAACATTTGATACACTACTCACTAACTTTGTAAACAATAATATAGGAATAATATCTTAATTTGTATGTCTTTGTACCAAATCATGATTTAGATAGAAATTTTACAATTTTGAGCTTCTTCGACAATGAGATGGCGCGAGAGAGCATTGATTGATGAGAAATGATGCTTACAGATAGGCAGAGGTTGAAAATGTCAATCTTTTCATCGTCTGAAAAGGTAATTTCGCACCTCCATTGAAAGACATTAGCAAAATTTTCACGTGTAAAATTTTGAATGCCGGAATTTAAATACAATATGTGTACAAATAAAGGAAAACCACAGGATTGTATCACAACATTCAAAAAATGAAATGGTCATGAGAAACTAGTGATATTGAGATGAATTTACAGAATTTAAAATAACATGTCAATCTCTGAATAGTATCAACAAATTATTGTCTCCGCATTGATACGTGCCAAGGTTACTCAATTTACTCATTCAATAAATTGGTCAACACTACAATTAATAAGGATATCAGTGACTAATACTTGGGTAATAAAATTTACCGAAAAATTGTTAAAAAAGCCAAAATTTAATGTCTAGTACAAAAAGTTAGAAAGACACCGTGTTTTGAGTGGATCAGTCATGTTACTTGTATAGTCCCCGGCACGAATCATGGCCAGAAAATTCGCGGTGGAGACAAGTTCGCGCATATTCTCTCATTAGTTATATTAAAATAAAGTGAAAAATATTGTGAGAACTTACTCCTACCACGAGAGATGTTGCCATGATTCGTGTCACAGATTATATAATTTAGTTAATGCTAGGGTCGCCGGCCCAGCAGGTTGGCACAGCAAGCTAAATGTCAGTAGTGGTCGATATCCGCTGTGGGAGCCACGGAGTATACTGATGGCGGTCTGTGGAGTGAATGTTAGTAATTGTTAGTATCGTGATTATTTTATCAAGATAAGATTTTGGATAGTTAAAATACAGCCAAGGAGTATTCTCTTTGTGTCAAGATGATGTCCAAGTAAATTAAATAAGTAAAAAATGTACTGCAGCGTCACCTGACAAGAATTTGTTTAGTAAAAACTTATACATAGGTTACAGTCTCTGTCTACCCCCATGGGAGACAGGCGTGAAGTTATGTATGTATGTATGTATGTATGTATTGTCTCCTTGCCACCAAAAGCAGATTGCACAATTTATTTTAGAAACAGTAAAATAAGACTGAAAATAAAATGATTAAATGTCATATTATTTACTATATCCTTATATAGAAGAAAATCATCATATAATCTTGTCTTTTAAATTATTGATAAGTTATAATAATATTGTTAAATGTTTACCGCAGCCCTCGTCTTGGGGCGGGCAGACGAGAGGGGCGAGGTAACGCGGACATTCGCGACTCCGCCGCCCCCGCACTGGACACTGGGCGAGGCTGCTCTACTACTGGAACTGGGAACATAATATACAACACATCATAATAATATATTATGAAGCAAATACTTTGTACCTCTTGGAATTTTACACAGGTAAAGTTTATACGGGAAGGGGTGCAGAAAACAAATATTTGTTTTTAATGTAAATATATTCAAATAATTAATTTGAAATCAAACTAGTATCTTTTGCGTTAAAAAGTAAAAAACATGCATGCATCATTCAGTGGCTTAGCTAGGTAACCAAAGGCACTGGTACAAAAAGCAAAGTTTTTCCTCAATGTTCCTACTAAACTGATAAATGTTCATAAATAGAACAGCGTAAACCTATATATAAAATGCAACTATGTAAAGTTGGCAGTGCATTGCATTTCAAATATTACAAGGGAATTCCCTATACCTTTCAAACAGTGGTAAGAAAGTTGGGAATTACCCTGTATGTTTCAAATAAGTTGCCATGAACAAATCTTTAGTAAACTAGATTTCTAACATTAGTAGAATAGTTTGATTTTTTAATGGGATAAGCCGGTAAACGAGCACACGGATCACCTGATGGTAAGCAATCGGCGTCGCCCATGGACACCTGCAACACCAAAGGCGTTACCGGCCTTTTGGGATTAGGAATTTGAGGATTGTTGGGGATTCAGGAATGGAAGAGAAGAAGAAGAAATGAAAGGGAAAAGGGGAGGGGTAATTGGGCCTCCGATAACCTCACTCACATGACGAAACATAACGGCAAGCGTTGTTTCACGTCGGTTTTCTGTGAGGTCGTTGTATCACTCCGGTCGAGCCGGCCCATTCGTACCGAAGCATGGCTTTCCCACACTTGATATAATATAACTCACCAGAAGTCTGCTTAGGTATTGGGCCGGAGGTAGGTCGTGCAACACCGACGCGTTGGGGAGCCGTCGTTGCTATCGAGTACGGTCGACTCGCAGGAGGCTGTAACATATCACAATTATATAACACACAGACAAATAACTGTATTATTTCCTTATTAGTTGACAGTACACCATCCATTGATGACCCACAAATATAGCTTACATATTACACATAAAATGTAAGATGTTAGGACAAAAACACAAAAATAATGAATGACCGTTTGTTAGGAACGATTTTATGGAGTTCATCGAATATTAATCACAAACAAATAGTTTAAGGAAATTGTTGAAGTATTTATGTAACTTAAAAACTTAAGTTTAAAGTAAATTCTTAAACCATGTTCAATGTTTGCTCGTTGTAATGTTTATTGAAAATGCTGTAAGATTAAACAAATGCACACTGATGCCAAATAATAACTTTACAACAAAACAAATAAAAAAGTAAGGATAATATAACTGAATCCGAAACAGAAAAACACTATTCAGCAGCTGTAGCCAAATGCCATTTACCGCTTTTCTACATGTAGAATAGAAACCAAATTATATGGAATTGACGTAAATTTTGACACTTGTCAGTGTCATTTCCATACATTTAGTTTTCTACTCTCTCTGTAGATAAGCGCTAAAGTGGCGTTTGGCTAAAGGCACAGATAAACCCCTGAATATAATTGAAATGTCAAATAATTCACGGTTGAAAATAAGAATCTCTTTAGTTATTTTCGTTACCAAACCATTTTATCGATAGAATAATAACACTCCTAGCAGAATTTTCATTTCATTTTTTGCGAATATAACTTGAAGTAAACACAGATTTAGGAATAACTACGCAAAATCCCAATCTTGGTCTTCTTTTATTAATCCGAGGTTTAAAATAAGCCAATTTAGTATCAAAAAGCCGTTCAAAATGGGCCAGGCTTTCATAAGCGGTAGCGTGGAGAAGCGAGACAAACCGTGCATCATTCGAAGAGTATTCGGCATCAGTATAACATGAGTTACTTATTAATAGTAACTCCTGTACATAATGGCCATTTCACAAGCATTCTCAAAGCTTTAAACGGAGGTATTTGGAAATCTTTGATCGTATGTACAAACACATTGTAGTTTTTGCCAATCATTCGTGCTTACATGCGAAATTCTTATATTAACACAAGATAAAAACATTCATATAAAAAAATAACAAAAAAGGGGCAAATATACACAAATTACATGTCTGTATTGCGAGAGAGAGGGATATCGCGCTGAATTTGCCACTAACGGTGGAATTAATAACTCTAGTCCAATAGACTTTTTGGTTGAAATCCAATATTACGAACAAGATCTAAATCACCACCAGCGCCATCTACTGATCGCAAAAACGTTTGCTGTCATTTACGAACATGCTATATTTAATATGACACTTATTTAGCTGCTCCTACACTACAGGCCACTGTGTACACGAGTGTATGTAGACACTAGACAGTGTACACTCACAGGTAAGTGATGGTTTCGCATGGAGACAGGCACGCCACTGCCCGCGGTCGCGCGGAGCTGTCATGAGTTAGTCACTCTGTTAGTGCGTTGTGACGTCACTTAGGTTAACACGTTCAAATGTGAACCCATACTTAGAGATTTTAGAGCTCATTTTCAATAAGAAAGATATGATTTATAAGACCACGGTAGCGGAGAAAAGACAGTGATATTTATATGTAAGAAGAGAAGAGTGCTTTGGACAAAAACGTGAAATTTTAAAAAGCATATATGTGTATTAGTTACATTTGATTAAAAATTTGAACAGGTAGAATAAATGCATAATTCACATTACATTTCAAATCGTACATATCAGGAAATACGATATAATATCATAGGTGCAAAACGATGTTCAAGAGAGTGATTTACTTACTGACAAATTAAATAATAGGAAAATTATACAGGGTCATATTGAACGGGTTAACCAAAAATAAATTAGTGTACTTAAATAAATAATGTATGATCGACACCATAACACATATTTTAGACACAATTGAAATGACAGACACATTATTAGCACAAAAATTATTGTTGTAATTCCAACACCATAATTATTAGACAAGTAACAAATGATATTACTTCTTTATAGTTATCGACATTGTATGTTATGTTGATCTCTTTTGAATTAAGTGTCAACAAAATAAGACAAACCTTAGTCTTTAGTTAAATAAGAAGAATAAGATCACTCACGTCAAAGATATCACGTAATTACTTTACTTTTAATAGTTTGTATATGAGTATAATGACATAGTTCTTTAAATACCATTGGAGTTGGACATCTAATAGGTTAAATGATACCCATTATGATTCTAAGAAAAAAGTCTCTGTTGCGCAATTACGTTTTCGTTGCGCAAAACAAGCGCAATAGTGTTCTGTTTTGCGCAAACAAAAAATGGTAAGTAATTTCATGTAATGTAGTTAAGAAAGTGTTTGTATAATTATGACAAAGACTTACGTCTCTCGGAGCCACCAACTGGCTTTGTGGTCTCTCTCTTCTTAGAGTCTCAGTGCCTTGTCGAACTAACGGTGGCGTGGGCGGGATATCGGTTTTAGAGGCTGTTTTATCTTCTAATTTCTGCAATATTATGTGAAGTGATGATGGGAAAGTGCAATTAGAACATGCTTTACATGCTGGACATTCAATTTAAATTTGGATAAGCAATAGTATTTTCAAGTAATCTATCAGTTGCTGGAGATGGTAAGATAGATGGTGAATGAGTTCATGCCAGCCAATAAGTATTGGAACCATGTACGATGTTCACTTGCCATTGATGACGCCACATTATGATAATGGTCGGTTACTTATGTTACCGTCTGAATTAGCCAACTGAGTGTCTGAGAACCATTATTGTTGAAGTTGTTTGAATATAATTTTAACAGTATCACGAATAATTGACTAGCCAAGTTTCTGGGTAGGTGAGGATTGTGGACCACTTCCAGAAGGATTCATAACCATCATAGCAATATGTATGAACATTTAATCGACAAAATGAACTAGGATCTAAACCGTAACTAGCGCCACCTAGATATTGCAAAAATAACAAGATACGTACGTGGTGTGTAGCGATGGTATAAGACTCGGTGGGCAGTGGATGGTCAGGCGGTGCGCTGGCCGTGGGACTGAGTGCTGGGTTGGACGCGTACACGGCGCGCCGCGTGATACCTCGCCCGCCTAGTGCACCGCGCGGTAGACCTGTAGTTGTTGCTGGGATTTGACCGCCTGCATTACGAGATGATAACATTAACCACTGGACTTATAGTATATGAGACACAATATAAAATACAAAATATTAAATAATAATTTGTAGAACATAGAATTTGTGCTACAAACAGTATTATTGTATAATGACAAAAAAATATCGACTGATGTCGAACTGATGTCAAAATACATTTAATAGTTATGTAGAAATTGTGATATTCGGTTGTCGTACTATAGTTTATGATTTTAGTGTTGCCTACAAAATATCGATACGACTTATAGCAATAAAAGCTACAGTATTTACAAGATTTCATACCATAATGAAAGATTCAAAGGAAACAAGAACTTGCATCTAAAATGGAGTAATGAATAATTGAAAATAAACAAACCAATATTAAAAGAACAACCAACATAACTATATTCTTACTCTCGCTTTACTATTAACTTTAACAAGGGTCAAGTTATACTGGTTGTAAAAAAAACATAGATATATCTTACCGGGTATCCTGCTAAGTTCCCTATGTGAACTGTATTGTCTTAACTTTGACGTTGGCAAGCTCGTTTTCCTCGGTACGCCGGCAGGGGGAACCATAGAACCGTATGAAGCTATAATATAGAAACAAAAAAAACAAAAATAAAATGGCTATGAAATGATTTTGATTTGTATAGTACAGAACCCTTTACTGGAGTTTTACCCGTGTTCAAGTATTTTTACAGACTATCAGGTGCAAGTGATCTTGAATCTGGCAGTCTGTAGATATTAATATCGAACTCTCAAATTTCAAGTAATTTTGGGCGGTCAAATAAACGTATAATCTCTGTAGCGTTATTATATTATAACATAGTGTCGAATGACAATGATTGTGAAATGGCTATGCAAAGTGCTGATTGTGTATAAAACAAAGTACGATTTGCTATTACTTTTAAATTCTAAAACCCATTTTACTGATTTTCTATAATCAGAAAATCGTATCATGAGCTGTTTTTCTCGAAAGATACAACACTGATAAGCATTTTTTATTGTAATTTTAACATAAAATATAACTTAGAACAATATACAGCATATATTGGCCAACCTACTTCTATGCTACAATCGTGGTCAAACGTAAGTTCCATCTAAAAAAACAAACAATTAAATTAAAATCTAATCTGTTTTAAGGTCCACTTACCAGCATTAGGTATCGTCCTAGTAGGTTTAGGCATAACACTAGGAGCGAACATTTTCTTCTCCGGACTAGCCTTTCCCGCCATAATATCCCTTTTCACAGACCTCTTAACCAACGTAGCACTATTTATAACTGTTGTATTGTGCATATCACAACTGGGTGTCGAACTTGGTACTTTAGTTACCGTATATGATTTATCATCAATCATATCGTATATAGGAGATATTGTATTATGGAGGTTCATCAAGTCATTCTTAGATCCTTTTCTTAGTGACATGAGGGGTGTTGATGCGATTTGTGGGCCTGCAATATGGGAAAGTGAACCTTATACCTTTGTGTTAAAGCATTGGTAAGCTGGTTGAATATACTTTATTAGGAAAATGGGAAGCCTTGCTATACCAAATGTGTCGAAGTCTGTGAAACCCGTATGCTTTTTTGAGGATTGGTGTTGGTGACATTAAGCTATTGATGTAAAAAATGTTTTCATATACACCAAACACGATTGCAGACTCCGTGCATAATAAAGTTTAAAATCTTAACACCTTTTCCCCACTCTACCATAAAAAACATTACCAATGACAAAACTTCTCTCTCTTGGATAAATAAAGGGCATCGGAACAGTTCACCTGATGGGATAAGTGATCGCCATAAACCCGACCCCATAGCGTTTTATAAGGTACCATGTACCAAGATTTTGATAAAATTAGACTTGTCTTACGTGTATCGTGTGTGGGAACATGATCAGGGACACTGTCAGGTGGACTGGACGAGCTGAAGGTGCCCGTGTCTGTGCTCTCACTGGAACCTACCATCGCTCGCTCTTGTGATCCCCACTCCTGAAAGTAATGTGTGTTTTTGTTAACAAAATGTACAAGTAACAGTCATATATTTTAGGTCGTCGATTAATGACTGATTTATTCGTTGAATTGGCGCAGTTTAATTACTGTTAATATTCAAATTATGAAGCTGTGTCAATAGTTGATAGGCCAAAAGTACAACAGCTGAGTAATCTGACTGATCTCAACTTCGATTTTCCAGTTTAGCCAAGGTTGGTTGGAATTTTCAATTGGACCTTGTAATAGGCACATGAAACTCATAACTCGAACGAGGAAAAAGCAAGTGGCACAATAATACAGTCTTTTGTATACCACTAATGGTATAAGTACGTACCCGAACGTCCTGCTGCAGGGTCCTCTCGCCGACATCTATTAAATTAAGTGTTGCTGAATTAATATCTATAATCTGATTATCATCTGACTTCACGTAAACAACCGTTGTGTCCATAGCGCTAGCTCTAGGTGATAGCTTCTTAAACGTAGCATTCCTTTTGGGAGTTTCCCTAGTCGGTGGTTCCTCTTGTCTATCAAAACCATTGCCGTTTAACGCTCTCCGCCTTGATAGCAGCTCTGAAGCATTCTCCATACTTTGTCGGGGAACCGTTATAGTTTGGTTCGGTAACTGAATGGTTTTGATCGGTGAAGTGTCCACTTGAGGAGGTGGGACCTTCTCCGGTTCCGTAGGCAACGCCTTCCTCGCTAGTGACAGCTTCTGGCGAGCCTGAATAATCTCATTCAACTCCTGCTTCCCTAAGGTCACGTTCAAACTACTCCGACCAATGTCCTCAGGCCTCGGCATCCCCATATCCTTGTAAAATGCGTCGTCAGTTTCAAAGTTTTCTTTCTCAGCGTCATTGTCCCTTCTAAACCTATTATTAGAGTAGTGTAAGGTGATCGTTTCAGCCATTTCTGGGTTAGGTTTGGGTATAGTTTTAGGCGAGTCTTTCTTATCAGTATTTTCGTTTAGAATTTTGCCTGTGTCAATTTGGCACGCTTCTTCGCGGGATTTTGTGTAGCTTTCGGAGTTTCGTATGGCGGATTCTCGTTTCGTGAAGCTATTGTAGAGTTGGCACCGAGGTCGGGCAGAAAGGAGTTTTTCTGATTGTTCGAGGTGTGTGAAGGTTGCTGAGCTGAAGATGTTGGAGTCTGTGCTGTCTTTCGGTTTGGAGGTGTTGGAGATTACGTAGGAGGAGTTGACGGAGCTGACAAGGCTAGGTGGGAGGGAGTCAATGAGGCTGTCGTTGTCAGGGTACGTGGTTTGGGAGAGGAAGCTGGTGCTCATGTCCTTCTCGTCGAGGATGCTGAGTGTCATGCTTGTCATCATCGGATCGATGCTGTCGCGTCCTGACATTGGAAGACCTGCAAGAGGGAAAGCGATGATTGAAAGAGACTATCATTTACTACCATAAGCTAACAGTATCGACTATAGCAAGGTCGAAATTTGAATGGAATATGTTCTGTAAGATCTCAGAGAAACTTAGTATAAATATAATCAAAACCTTTATTCTTCTTCTTTAAAAAGTACCTACATAATAACATAACATTCATTAGTTGCTTTACTCTACATCACCGACAGTATACTTCCCGAAGCATAGTACTAGATATTACGTGATATCCAGTGAGGCGGATACTTCGAGCGTTGGTTGCATCATACAGCCCTGAATGTACTATGTAAAGTGGACCATGGTTATTAACTATTATTTACTAGCTTTTACCCGCAGCTTCGCTCGCGTCACAAAAGGATAAAAAGTAGCCTATGTGACATATACCAATACACACAGCACCATCTATACCAATTTTTTTTGTTTTCCCTCGGGAATATCAATTTTTTCCGGATAAAAACTACCCTATTATTTAATCCGGACTTCTAACTTTACGTCTGCAAAATTTCAAAGCAATCGGTTTAGTAGTTACGGCATGAAAGCGGAACAAACGAACAAACAAACAAACTCACTTTCTGATTTATAATATTAGTAAGGATACATTATTAGCTGACCAGGCAAACTTCGTACTGCCTAGAAAGGTTTACCTTTTGAACCTTCTCTGGATTTCCACGAACATATCAAGACCAAAATTAGCCATATTGGTTGAGCCATTCTCGAGTTTTAGCGAGACTAACGAACGGAAATTCATTTTTATTTATATAGATGTTACACTGATTGATACAAAATTTAAAGTGATATTCAATACATTGACGGCACTGGGTGACATTGTCTCTGCGGGACCAATCCCTTTAAATAAGTAACATTGTTTAAGTGAAATTTGACAGCACTTTAAATTACCCACTATTTAGTTTTGAAATCAGTAAACAATAAGCGTGGTAACCATGGTTTAAGTACTTTCTTTGCTATGTATAACTCTTAATATTACTTCTTAACCTATCCTGTCATAGGTACCTTTTTTTGAGGGGGGAAAATCATCCTATGACTTCTCCCGCTCGGGTGAGGCGAGAGGGAGTGTCAGACTCTTACTGACTAAAAACCACCCCGTTCCTACTCCTGCACTCGTATCATAGGCACCTAGATAGCTAAACTTAACAGTATATTCGACTCATAAAACAAAAAGATGTAGTCATAATTCACTGATTATTAAAAAAAATGATGTAAACTTGTTTTCTAATTACATAAAATTAACTGCAAAATATTACCTCTTCCAGCGACTTTGCCCGCGTTCCTGTAGTGTAAAAAGTAGCCTATGTGTATTCTAGAACATATTCTACCCCTATTCCAAATTTCTTCTCGATCCCTTCAGTAGTTTTTGCGTGAAAGGGTAACAAACACACAGATACATCCTCACAAACTTTCGCATTTATAATATACTTAAGTAGGATTCTTACCTGAATCCTTATGAGAAGGAATAGATTTACGGCTATCTATAGACTCTGCGTTGAAGGTTCCAGAACTTTCCATCAGCAGCGAGGAGACCAGGCTAGGGGGAGACATTCGCATGAGTGATTCGCCGCTCTGGTACATGTTCAGACTCGGACGCTCGTTCAATATGTTTGTTAGGCCCCTGGAATTATAAGAAAATACATTGACATAATAAGTAATTAAAAACCACAAAATATTGTTGTATATAGGATGAAGTTGAATCCTCATTCAAAGTATTTGTTATAAACAGCGAAAGAATAAACGAATGTTTTGAGTTTGTAAATAGAGTAACATTAAATAAGTCTTACGTTGAAATACTCAAATGCTACTCAATTTTAAGTCGCGCTTAAGGGCCGATTTTTCAATCATCTGTTAATTCTTAACTGTACAAATTTGACAGTTGATAGTTTTTAGTATGGAAGAATTGTCAAATGTTCAAAGTTCTGTGATCTGACACAGGAATCTTCCGTTCTGTGACAGGAATCTGTGATAAAATTTGACTGAGCATTGAAAAATCAGTCCTAAGTATAGTTATGTCACTACATATCTTTGTAAAATGACAGAGACGGCACGATATATAAGTACAACTTAAAATTGAGTAACCTTTCAGTATTCGAGCGATAGTTTGTTATAAATCAACGAAGCTTATAGTTACAAGGTATTTATAAGACTCTTTTACTTCGCGTTCTCTCCAAAAATCTCACAGATAACAAATTATATACAGCTTTGTTTCTCGAGCATTAAAACTGTTTGAGCGATTAAAGCGCAACACATAACCAAGCGAATTAAAACAATAAGCAGTACTAAAAACACAAAAATTGGTCAAACCGGACAGTCCCAACAATTATCCATAGCCCACATTAAGAAAGCATAAATAAATATAACCTAAAACAATGCAGCGCCAGGTTTTGCGCGGATGTGACTCCGTAACACCGCCTCTGTACTTGAGCCACATTGAGGTACATATTGAATATCCACCTGGATACAAGGCACATGTTAGTGGTACGTGTTAAGGGAAATACGACTTCATTTTGAGAGAACTAAGAATAATTTTGGCAAGAAAGTCATAAGTGATGTGTTAGTGGGACTCGTTAGGGAAAATAAGACTTTGTTTTAAGGGGAGAAGATTAATTTTAGCGTGCTATTGGAAAGACGTATATCCGTACGACGTATAGACGTAATACTGCCTCTGTACTTGAGTCACATTAAGGTACATATTGAATATCCATCTAGAAACTGCACATATTAAAGGAACTTGATAAGGGAAGTAGAAATCTGTCTTTAGGGTCATAGGATTCATTTTGGCATGCTATTAAAGAGACCTAAGATTGGAGAGGACAGTAGGACGAGATGCAAAATCAATATCCCCTGGATACAAGGCATACCTTAGTGGGAGCTTGTTAAGGAAAGTACGACTTTGTTGAAAGTGTAGTTAGGTTTAATTTGGGGTGAAAGTCTAGTACTGGACAAGGACAGGTTCATGATGACGAAAGGAAGGTTCTAACATAACGTAAAATAGCTTTGAGCCAGATTTTGCGTGAATATGACCCAGTAACACATTTATTTAAGTAAGATTGATACTAAAACACACCTACATAATCGCCAATCATGTTTTAATCCCACTGCGTTAAGTCTAATCTACCTTCATAGCCTAGAGTTAGAAGTCAGTATGAGTATTTCCTCAACTTCAACTGTATAAAAATACATATTAACAAGTAATCAGCATAGTAACAAAACTGACACAGTCACCGCCATTATCTGCTATCTGCTATAGTTAGAACTCAAAAATAAACCCAGGTATAGACTAGAACATCAAAAAGTAAAAGTATCGTCACATCTCAGTTATATCGCAAAAAGAACAGATTGACGCTTTCTTTAGATCCGCCTTTTCTTACTTTCCCTTTTCTTATGTAGAGCCGATGCTTAGTCATGCACGGTAATTAAAAAGGAGTCAAATAAATTGAGGTTTTTGATGTGTGTTTTTAGACCTTGTGAGCGTAATTTTAAGTTTTTATTTTGGTCTTAAATTTTCTTATCAGACGTCGTGTATATGTGGTATAGTCTATGGTTATGACTATATTTCTATCTATTATTTCTATCACCACAGACTAGACCCTATGGTCTAGTCCCTACAGTCTGTAGGGACTACTACTACAGTCTAGTCTGAGTGAGTCATATCTATATAGAAACATACTTAACTTAAGGTTGGTACGCTTTCATGCCTAATTTACAGATTTTCTACTGAACGTGAGGGTTCCAGATTCAACCTCCGAATAGGATTTAAGATGGAATCCGAACACATTACCGTGGACAAGAGTTCGTGTTTATAATCAAAGAAGCAGCTTCTTTTCAGATAAATTACAATCTATGTTCATAATAACCTAATTTACACAACAAAATCAATATAACCAGTTTTTAAAACTATTTCAGAAAAAATAATAATATCACCAAAATCAAAGACTATGTATTTTTAAGACACCTTAAATAGTTAATCTACATTTGAGTATTAAAGAACTCGGCCTTTAGCCCATTATATGTTCTCATTAGTGACGTAACAGCTCACAACTCGATTCACAATACAAAGTGTCACTCAGACGGCGGCCATTATTTTTAGATCCCTATACAAACTGAAGCTGCATCTGTTCTGGTTCATTGATTTAATAAACTAATCGGACACGTTTATATCTGATCTTGATATGTAAAGCGCTATTCGTTGTCCTTTTATTGTGATACTAGCTATTTCCGCGCGGTTTCACTCGCTCTGTTCGGCGCCTATTAATAGTAGCGTGATATTTTATAGCCTATAGCCTTCCTCGATAAATGGGCTATCCAACACAAAAAGATTGTTTCAAATCGGACCAGTAGTTTCGGAGATTAGAGCGTTCAAACAAACAAACAAAAAACAAACTCTTCAGCTTTGTAATATTAGTATAGATTAATGCATCTTTATCAAATTGCTAAAATGGTGAAATTCTGTGTGTGGTTCAATGGTAAAGAAAGTGCAATGGTAGGCTATAGCATATATGATAATGACTATTGTACATTTTTTTTTAAATATATATTTTTTATATTAGATGGGACTGACGTTTGACCACTATCTCGCCTGGTGGTAAGCGATGATGTGGCCTACGATGGAGCACGTCGACCCATAAGCAACCTATTCACTCGGGCCTTGAAGACACCCAGGTTATACCTTTCAGAACATACAGTCGTCCAAAAAATCTGTTTTGCTAAAAATACTAACCTACAAACGTTTGTAATGACTAAAATTGGATTGCTTAGAAAGTTTTGAGTGTATATAAATACGTATCACTTCAGTGTAAACTGAGAAATGAAAACGGCTCAGATATTGATAATTTAGACATGTATTGTATTACCAGAAAGAGAAAAGAAAGTAATTTTTTTTTATTGTTTTTTTTTGTTGTTGTTTTTATTGTTATTTTATGTTTGTGTATTTGGTGCATCATTGGCCTAATGGTAAATAAATTATTTTTTCTTTCTTTCAATAACTTTTATGTTTTAGTTTTAATAGGGAATTTAGTTTCCGTACCAAGAAAATATTGAATAGTGTATTACTGTAGTCAACAGTAGCCACGTGTTGTAGAAGCCATAAAACTATAGATTACGCTTAGTAAGTGTTAGTGCCGCTCCGAGTTGTTTAACCCTTTATCACATGTACGGGTAGTATGCATCACTGCCTCATGCACGCATTAAGCGAAAATACATCATAGAAAGGATTTTTTATTTTTAATGGGCCGACGTTTGGCCACTATCTCGCCTGGTGGTAAGCGAAGATGCGGTCTACCATGGAGTACGTCGTCCTTTAAGCAACCGATTCACTCGGGCCTTGAAGACAAGATACCCAGGTAACCTTATACTCAGGTATATATATAAATATACGTATAATATTTAAATTTTGGCAATTATTCCTATCATCATTGATAATAGAGTTTTATATTAAAACGATTGATATAAAAAAGCACGTTGTTCGCGATTACATCTTTATGTTTATATCACACTTGAACTTCAAGGCCGACGTAGACCCGGTGGACTTATTTGGCATGCTCGCACATCTGAATAACTGGCAAGCAGCTTACGAATAATATTTGGATGCACCATAAGTATAATTAAGATGATCTTACGAGTACGGAAAACTTACAAAAACAGATCTAAGAAAGAAGTGACCTTACAAAATCCGTACATCTTTGAATAAAGAGATACGCCCGAATACTCAAAGGCTAGTCAAGTTTAAGTTGCGCTAAGTATAGTTCTGTCACACATTCTTTGTAAAAATACAGATATTTTTTTAAGGTCGGAATCATCGAGTGACTGCTCCCGCTTGGGTGAGGCGGGAGGGAGTGTCAGACTCTTACTGACTAAAAACCACCCCGTTCCTTCTTCTGAGCTTCGAGCCGGAGCCCCGGTAACCTTTTAGGTTCTCCGCGACTCCGAGAAAATGACAGAGACAGCACGATATTTGTGTACAACTTAAAACTGAGTATTCGGGCGACTAGTGATGTATCTTCATTCCAAAACAAAAGAAACAAATCTCATTACGTCTGCATTATTGCATTACTTTCGTTTCAAGCACAGATGAATTATTAGGTCAAGGATCAAAACCATGCCAAAAATACTAAGCAAAGCAAACATAATACTAACTTGTTGAAGGTGTTATGTAGGTTGTGTGCGGGCTGCGAGAGGTCGATGTTGATTGGTTTGGACGGCGCGTGGTCCATCGACGACCGGCCCGACACCTCCGACGCTAGAGTCACGTCCAAATCTTCCAGCTGTAATATGAAACAGACATTTTGAAATAACAGCTTTATTAAGACCAAAATAGGATTCCTCTCCTAAGATCCTTCGAGGCATGGAGACGTGCGCATATAAAATGCAAGGTTTATTCCACTTTGTTCACCTGGGTGATTTCACCTAGGTGAACAAAGTAGATTTTTTGGAGTCCTCAATTCACCTGGGAATTATTTCACCCAGGTGACATCACCTAGGTGAATTGAGTTGACTCAAGTAGTCTCCTTTGTTCACTTGTCAATTTAATTCACCCAGGTGCACAAAGGCGACTTTTTACTTTTACGTTGTGGACTTATATCACCTACCTACCTTACATCAAGTTAAATAAAAACTTTCAATTTTACATACATTTTAATATGTTCGAATATCAGATTAATGTTGGTCTACTACACATGCAAAAATATATCTCAATTTCTAACACTACGCTAGGAGTTCCATGTAATAGGGGTGAGCTTATTGCTGTACACTGGGTATAATTCCAAACTTCATAGTATTCCATGCACCTTAACTACCTATACATTCAGTAATTACGTAGTTGTTGCTTCTAATGTTTTCTCGGAGTTTTAAAAATTGGCTATTTTGTAGATTTTGATGTGATCTTTCCGATTATCATTTTGCCAACCACTTCGTAGTTCCCAGGAGTATGAAGAATGATTGAACTAAGTTTCGTTAAAATCCGTCGAGTAGTCTTTTCTATAAGACATACAGGCAGACAGACAAAAATTTTACTGTATGCATTTTTGGCATTAATTAGGAGCAATCACCCCCTGATTGACCTGACCCTGATTATTTTGGAAATATATTTCGTGTACAGAATTGACCTCTCTACAAATTTATTACAAGTATAGATAAATAGTTTTGGCGGCACCGCAAAGTAGGTACACTTCAATGAACATTTAGGCGGATTTTCAGACCACATGTGGAAATAAAATTTCGTTCGTAATTATACCCAGTGTACAGCTATAAGCTGGAACTCCTAGCGTTGTGTTAGAAATTGTGATATGTTTTTGTATGTGTAATAGACCAACATTAATCTGATATTTGAACATATTAAAATGTATGTTAAATTAAAAGTTTTTATTTAACTTGATGTAAGGTAGGTAGGTGATATAAGTCCACAACGTAAAAGTATAAAGTCGCCTTTGTGCACCTGGGTGAATTAAATTGACAAGTGAACAAAGGAGACTACTTGAGTCAACTCAATTCACCTAGGTGATATCACCTGGGTGAAATAATTCCCAGGTGAATTGAGGACTCCAAAAAGTCTACTTTGTTCACCTAGGTGAAATCACCCAGGTGAACAAAGTGGAATAAACCAAATGCAACATCCACTTCTAGCAAATTAGGTTAAAGTTCAATGTATTAGAGTCAAGCCCATTATCTTAATGAAAAATGTGTGTATCGTAATTGTAATAAAACTGTATATAATTCTAGACCCGTAATCATATTATTGTAGTAGTTTAGTGTACAGGGAGTCATCAAAACCGAAATAATGATATTATGCCATGCCCGATTCTCTTGCTAGCTACTTACTAAGTAATCATCAATAGCCTATAAATGTCCACTGCTGAGCAAAACCTCTTCTCACACGGAGAAGGTTTGAGCATTAATCACCACGCTTGCTCAATGCGAGTTAGCGATTCCAAACTTATAATTACAAATTATAAGCCCAGGTTTCCTCACGATCTTTTCTTTCACCGTTTGTCAGTGGTGTCTGAATAATCATAGAAAGTACATATAACTCGGAAAAAGTCACTTGCCATTGGTGGGTTACGAATCCGCGCCCTCATGCATTAGAAACCTCTTAAACCTCCGGGCCCCCACGACCTTACTAAGTAAACCATGTTGTTTTCTTTTAGACCTTTATTGTCAGTTTTCATTTTAATGTAACAAGTAAAAAGCCTTGAAAATGTGCGTTAAACTTAATAGTACACACAATAAGTCTCACTATTTGTGATCAGCTTCACACCTGTGCTTACGTAATTCGCTTTCCGCTATATTTCCGCGCGACACGCCATGTCGACATACGTCACTAGATTACGTCAGGAATGCACTTATTTTGTAAAAATCGTTGGAATCTCTATATTTAGAGGCGAGGATTACGATATTGAAGGTCTTCACATCGATGAAACGAGAAAATAATGTTCATGCATTAAAGAGTACGCCTACACTACGCATTTCTGCGTGTCGATTTATTTTTTCAAAGGATTAACTGGCGCCACTGTCGATTTTGGAGTTGCAGTTAATGGCAAACTTTTTTTAGAATAATATTGGGTTGCTAACCCAATATTATTTTTATTTATTTGAACTGAGTCATCCTCATGTAAGTGTAAGTAAATAGTGTGTATTTATACTTATATTTACGATGCACGTAATTTGACGTCTACATATCAAGAACAAGGTCATACTTCGCAGAATCTATCTCAAGTCAATCACGACTAGGCGGTTATCAAGTTTACCGTTAGATTCTACTTTGAACTTTAGAATACGGTCATCACATCTGTATAAGGAAACTCTATTAGACATTTGAAGAAACAAATACGACTAAGGTTACCGATAAAAAGAACAATTTATCTTGTCATAATAAAAAAGAGATCAGCCGTTGACCGAGTTTCAATAACCTAAAAGATCATTACCACTCTCAAAATAAGGAACTTTCAATAACATTTTGTTCTTCCAGACGTAGACGTGTGAGTTTGTAAGCAATCGCGAAGAACAAAAACCCGTGAAGTACAAATTTGTCATTCATTAACATAATAATTAAAGTTCCTAATGCTCTTTCTTACTTGCACATCAACCTTATGACACTTCAAAATTAAACCGTCTCTTGTCTTATTAAGACGGAAGTTAATATATCAGTTGGATCTAAAGCACAATTCTTTGGATTGAGATCAATTATCGACATTAATTCTATAAAATATCAGCCAAAAACTAATCGATCCAGATTTTTGATTGCGTCGTTTATCAATATCAGCCGTTAGACCATATTCGGGAACTCGACTAGTTTCAAGCCATGCTAGAGGCTCATATTCATTTGCAGCATTCCGCGACCCACGACGTGGCAACTGTCGCGCTGCTTCTGAACTAATCGAGTTCCCGTCAAATAAATACGCCGAAAAACATAACAATTAATTTAGTATGTCTCATGAAAGTTATAACACAAGTTAGACCATACTATAAACCGTTTCAAGTTTCGTAAGTTACTCTTACTGTCGTTTTCATTCTACCTGTAGTTAGCATTATACACCGATCCGGTAGATCAAGTCCGCTTTGTTGCGTGATGTCAAAAGCCGTTTGGACTCCGGTTATTGCATGCATTTATCAAAAGCCGTTACGGGAGTAACTAGTATAATTTTACATTTCGATCAAGTAGTAGTGTCATCCGTAGATGCTAAACTTGCAAATCATAAAGACTTTCACTTTGCTTTTAGTTGAAGATAATCGTGTTTAAATAAAAAATCACGTTTAGGATAGAAGTTTTAAGTCTCTAAATGCCGATAGAAAACTGTTGAAAGTAAACAATTCTACTATTGACAGACCCGAGGTGTTTTTGAATTGTCTGTTCCTCCCTACCCCCTTGGTGAGATTTTATTCAACACCCTCCCCCGTCCCCCAATCTCACCTGAGATTTTTCAAAATGTTGGTTTTTCACGTAAAAGCGTTACATTCTTATTGTAAAAAGAAAAAAAATCCATGTCCAACTAAAATAGTAGGTATATTTTTTTTGTTTCTATCAGAAAAAAATTACGTAGTATTTGCTGCTCCAACGTAAGATTAGATGACATTTGAATCTACCCCCTCGCCCCCTTAAACATCTCACGTAATTTATGGACGCCTCCTTACCGCATGCATTTTGCCAGTAAATACCGGACCCGTAAAACCGGACAGAATATACTACTAAATGACTAAGTAAGCAGCGTCCATTAATCAGGTTGCAAGTAGGCCACTAAGACTAAACCTATCTAGTTTATACACAACAGCTATCGACCGCAATATGAAAGCCTGTGTAGGATTGACTTAATGGTTATTGTAGGACGTGTAATAATAATAAACTTTAATGGCTTTCCTTTAGAGAATACTTTTATATGGCATTGCTATGGAAAGTCGAAGAAGAATAACTAACTGGCCTTGGGTTCTTTCCCTTCGAGGCTTAGAAATCAGACTGGCAAAGTGCTAGTGCATGTCTCACTCTTTAACTTGGACTGCCATGATGTCTGTCTACTTAATCTACGTTCAGCAGTTGCAGTCTTGTTAGTGACGATGATAAAGAACTTGGACAGTCTCAGAGTTAGTATTACAATCGCCAGTGCATTACTGGCCTGGGATCCCGTTTCAAGCATCGAAATGGTTGGATGGCTGTCTGTATTGGCTAAGCAAGCAATAAGGTACAAGGTAGATACGTGCTGTATCTACTAAAGTTTCATGTGTCAAAATCATGTTATCTGCCTTAAAAACATTACTTTCAATGTCCTTTTACATGTTTTTCTCCGATATGGTGCAAAAATATTTTTTATAATTCTATTAAAATTTGGCAACCAGTCAGAATCAAACCTTCTTTGCAACTTTATTCTTTATCACATTCTCGTATGAATGACTCAGACTGTCGGTAGACATTTGTTTATTTTTTTTTACACTAATCCTAGAGATAATATTTTCATAATTTCTTTGTGTCTCCAACCAAGCTTGAACATTAACACATCTGAGTGAATCACCCTGTTGTTTATTTTCTATACATTAGTCCTCTCAAGGTCATTCGCAGCTAAATGCGCTCTTCGATCCTGTTGTACATAACTACATAACAAAGTATGTTAATGTACTACGAACTGACTTAATACTCGTCCAGTTTAGCACGTGATTCGAATGTCATTATTCTTATTGGAATTTAAGTGGGACATGCAAGCGCATGGTAATTGAATTGTGAGGACTTTTTTACATATGAATTAGATAGGATCGTCTATAGACGTTTTATTGATAGATTGAATGTTACGATAACGGTCTTGTAGAAAGAAATTGAATTTAACGAACTCTTATTTTGCCACAATAATTATGTTTAGGAGATTCCATTCCAGGCCAAGCATCAAACTCAGAAGCAGCATCCTTATCCATTCGAAATTAGCCAGTGTAATACATAGAGTACTTTTTTTTAAGTTATCGAATGGCTTCTCCCGCCTAGGTGAGGCGGGAGGGAGTGTCAGACTCTTACTGACTAAAAACCACCCCGTTCCTACTCCTGCACTTCGAGCCGGAGTCCCGGTAACCCGTTAGGCTCTCCGATGCATCCATAGGGTATAAGACGTACAACACGTTATCATCTATCGTGTAAATAAACAAGATGACAAAACCGGTAAATCCGCGCCTTCCTTAGGATGTCCGACTGCAGAAACGAAGTATAACGAAGCACACAAATCACTTCAATAAACTCAATGTTATTATTATGTTAATGATATAAACTATAGATTACATAAGTTCGATACCGTAACATAGCTATATTTACACAGCTGCACTCAAGCTTAGTGTTTGTAGTGAGTCAATAATAGCACCTGCAATAATTTTGTAGAGACTACGATATCGCCCTATTTACTATTAGGAAACGAGTAGGAATTTGTAGTGCTCGTTACAAGTGGATTTAAGGTTTAAAGTACTTAGGATTTTTAACAAGAAATGTGATAATAGGAGGCAAATGATATAATGAACATTATAACATAACATAACATTTGGCCTTTTATCCCCGATGGGATAGGTAGACGAGCACATTACGGCACTTAATGCCACTATACAATGTAACCCCACTTTTCAATATTTATGTTTTATGCGTCCCATGTAATAAAGTTTGAGCCTATTGCTATATACCGGCCATAATTCTAGATTCCGTGCTACTACTGAGAATATTTTTAAAAACCTAGTAATACTTTGCCCTACCCGGGAATCGAACCTGAGACTCATGCCCAGCAATCATACTTGTGACCGCTCGGCCAACGTGGCAGTCATTGTCAAATGAACATTATATTTCATCAGTAAAACCGCATTGGGAGATCCTTACTAACTGGTCAGGATCAAAGGCTTTCATTAAGTTCCAATATTTGAAAGGCGAGAGGAATGCCTCAAATTGCGCCTAATTCTAGACTCCATCGCATTTCCGAGAATCCAAATCGTGTTTGAAACTAAGAACCATGTTCGGAGGCCACATTCTCGGTCAGACCAACGAAACAGTCTTTAACAATGGACTCGATATTAATGGTTACATTATAAAATATATAATTATAAACAAAGGTATGAATGAGGTTGAAAAATAAGGCCAAATATCTCATTCTACCGTACAGGTACCAAATATGCTGGGCGCCGCAACAATACGTGTCTCTGACAGTTTTGCAACCGATGCTGTGTGCATTCATCCGTACGAAGCCGTTTCCTTCACAGTTCAGTTGCAGTATAAAGCTTAAAAACTATTATCGATATATTTTTGTATCGTCTAGTTTTTATTTTTATTTTCATTTCCACGGTCGTTGACATTTTGTCCGTTTCGATTTCGAATTTATAAGTCTAGAAAAACGTGTTGAAGAGTTTTGGTTCATATTCTTAAAGCAAAACGAGTCTTAATATCAGAAATTGTGCCCATTTTTATACATGGTCAATTAAATGAACCAGTCTAAAAGACCCGGTGAAAGAACGGGTGAAAGAACGGAAAAAACATCGTAAGTAAACCTGGGCTTATAATTAAGTACTAATTATAAGTTTGAAATCGCCAACCCGCATTGAGCAAGCGAGGTGATCTCACATGGAGAAAAGGCTTTGCTCAGCAGTGGGCATTTATAAGCTGTTGATGATAATGATGAAAAGACCCAGAGAAAAGGCATAGAGCCTCTCCCTCATAAAATGCTGCTTTGTATTAAATGAAATGAATCGCACATCCATCCATATCTGCCTTCCTCTTCGGATAGGGGTTATTTAAAATTTAAAACCACTTTATTCACAAATCCAGTACTTTAGCAATCCATAACGGTATTATTCAGATACATCATCACTGGTCAACCTCGAATCTCGATAGTCGACCGTGACACTGAACTTGCATAATAAATGAGATCACGGCGGACAAAAATCTACCTATACAGTCTATAGACTGACTACGACATAGCTTAAAAAATGCAAGCACTTGGTATTCATGGAATAAATGAGACACGCAGAATACGACCTTGTGTGTAATAGAATTGTAAATCATGCAGAGATTGAAAGGGTGTGGGAATACTAAATTGGATTTCTTTGATTTTGAATGGATGAAATTCAGATTTGTTCTCATTCAGGTTTTGTTATGACTATAAAGTTCAATTTTCTATGTGGAGATTATTCTCATAGATTAACATTTAATACTTTCATTCAGTGAAAGGAAAAGTAATTAGACCGTATTGAAATACATCGATACTACTTTAGATTCTAATTATTGGGAATTTCGAAATTATATTCCGGCCTTTATGATAGGCCATTCAACCAACAAGGTAAGCTCATCTTATGACACACAGAAAAGAAGGCAAGGAGGTCCAAATGAAATCAACACCCGTTTAATACAAAGCATTTAACTTCTTTAACGCCTACCGTAAAAGCTTCAGCCACAGACAGTTCTTTGTTTTGCTCAATTTAGGTGCCATAATAAACGTGTTCAGTGTTTACTTTCCACAACTTAGTTCTAGAATCCAGATTTTACGACTCTGCTTATTACGGTTACTTAGATCCAACCACCTAACATCAAAGGCGAGGATTCCTAAATTTATTTCTTTTGTAGCAAGTTAGCAGCCACAAGAAATACCTCCGGTTTTACGTTTAGCTGTTAAAACGGTCATGAAGGTGTTAACTTGCGTAACAAAATAAAAAGATCGCTTTGTACATCTCACGAACCACAGTTTAGAATAATCTTGGTGTTTATGTCGGTCGTGCAATCAGTTTCTACTCATAGTAGCTGTCAAAAGCTGAGTGATATTAGCCATTTGTCTATTATTCCACTGGTTTCCAGAATTGAAATTGGCTACCGTATGTGTTTTACCCATCCAGTACTAATATGGGTTGGACCGTTTTTTTTTGTCAGAACAGTAAACCCTCTATGTAGAGGAAGCTTGAATCTGAATTGCTTGTTTCATCAACCTTATCATTAATATCGTAAAACGTAGATACATTCCAGTCAAGATGGCATTCTAAAGTTCAACAAAGGAAACTTTATCACAAACCACGAAACGATTGTTATATCAGTATCAGGCTTACCTGAGGATCATCGTCTTGCACCAAACTCCTCCTTTTCATAGCATACTCTTTGACTGCATGGCTGTTCTCAGTATTCGTATCAACGTTGAACGTTTTCAACCTCAACATGGGACTGATTGGTCCCAACGGATTATTGTATTTGTTGTACGTCAGATATTTGTTCGTTGATTGGTTAGACTGGTGTATTGTGTTCAGTGATGGGATAGGTGACATAGATGGAGTAGCTGCTTCTACTATGTTCTGTATGCTCGGTCGATGCGTTCGTTTCTTTGGCTTAACATACGTTCGTGAATCGAACTTGTGTTTGTCTGGCATCGAGAGGACATCATCTGAAACAAGAATTTATTGGATAACTTAACATACTCAAGCAAAAATTTATGATATACTAAGTCTAGTACAATCAGGTTTACTAATATCGAAGCTACAACTTCATTATTATCATCAACACATGGACTGTCATTTTCATATCTAGATGCCATCCATTCATAATACATGCGCAGAATGAAACAAAAGGCTACGAAAGTTGTGACACAATACAAAGTATGCAAGCTGACGAATAATAATTCATTACATTCATACATAGACAATAGACGTAATAATGAGAAGAGAAAAAACCGTTAAAGGGCCAACTATTTCAGGATTAAACGTAGATTTATCAACAGATCAGGTAAACGCGGAAGACGCAAGTGAGAAGTTCAACAAACCCATTAAAAATCGCATCTCTGAGCTTCGTATTCGTTAAGGCTGTGAAAAACACACAACTGTAAACCTAAGGCCTACTAGATAAGGAATACTCTCGCTTGATCTATGTTTTGTTAAGCGGTTACAAAATAAAAGCGTCGAAATTCAGTTCGCAACGCACTGCTGTAGTAGAAACGAGGTTTAATTGGCACCAAAATTGGTGGACAATTTGCATTCGTTGTGGACGTGGTCAGGAAATGGCAGTGACAACTGTTCCAATGTTATGACGGGAACGCGTGAGCCGCCTAGGAATGCTGACTCTAAAGCCGGTTAAGGGCAGGTGGAAGAAAGCTATGGGAGGCCATATCCTTTCATTCAATGTTTATTTGTAGAATAGTTTTTTGATACTGGATAAGTTGGTTTCGCAAAACGACCGTAACGATGTCTTTAGAAGAATAGTTTTGTTAAAATCTCTACTACACATGTAATGTTATGCTTCAAAAGTAAAAAGATTCCTATCGAAGGCAACATAATGCCATTGTTTCGGAGATTTAACTCCTATAAGAGTATATTTGAATGGAATGAAGCAAACAATAAACATTTCAACAAACATAATATGCAATACTAATCCTTTACAAGAAAATACGAAAACCAAACACAAGTGGATAAGCTACGAGTGAGTAAACTGCAATATTCCATTATGAGTGTTGACAAACACAATATTGACACGCCAGGGTGACTTCAACTGGGGTGCGGTGCCAGAAGACCTCCCCGTGGTGCACCCTGGGTACAGGTGATAGTTTCCCTAACGGGAGTGATAGGGTTGGAGTGGCTATTGCCTGTAGCTAACTTCTGGACGGGGCGGACGAACCCAGGATGGGTTCTGGAGGCGGCGGGCTGTGTGCTGATATATAGCCTGTGCTTCCGAGGGGACGTTTTTCCGCCCGTCTCTCTGAACTTAGCAGAGAACGTGGCGGAGAGGCAAGGGCGGTGCTCGTTGCGCACTCACCCTGCCAACGAGCAGCATCGGGACACATGGGTCCTCGACTGCAACCGTCGAAATCGTAACCCGAGAAGAGATCATGGATGTCTCATGACTCAGAACGGGACGAGGGTCTTGGCTTGGTTGCCCGGACCGCGAGGAAGATAACCTCTATAAAAAATTCCTCCAATACCAAGTTCTGGTGCGCGGCGAGGGTATGCATGGCTGAGGAGTAGTGTCAGTCGTGAGCGCACCCCCAGCTAGAGTACCGGTGGACCCTCTAGTTGGGAAACAAATATACACTTACCCAGGTACAGGGGGCACTGCCTGGGCGGACCGTTTATTTCCCCCATACTCGTGGGAATTGTATGGAGTCTAATAATAATAAAAATAAAAATAAAACACCGGAGGAGGAGAGGGCAAGCGAGCTTAGTTCGCTTGCTGTTGGCGGAGAGAGCCAGGGTGGCTCTGGAACCCGTGGGGAAGCGTTGGAGTCGTCCAGCAAATCCCTCACACGGGCATTAAGTCGGAGGATGTCGGAAGCAGAGTCTGACTACTCTTCCGCATCTGGCGCTTACTCATTGCGTAGCTTGAGTTCACAGCGCCAAAAAAAGGGGACGTTTAAACGTCCCAGGTTAAAGGAGGGCCGGGATCCGTCCTCCAACGAGCTGGAGGCTCCAGCCCCTAAGATCCCTACGGCTGCGCGGGGTAGGGGTCGAAGAAAGGGCTGCGAGAGGCCGATGGCCGCTACTCGGGCCGAGTCAGCTGAAGCTGACTCATCAGAATCTGGCGGCGAGGGCTCGGTAGGCGACCTTGGTGCCATAAATGGCGAACTTTCCAAGGTGGTCAAAGAAACACTCCGGACGGTGGCTGGGCAGAAGTCCGAGAAGGGCCGAAACGGAGTGTTAAGGCAAGCGAAGGCAGCCATTATGAAAGCAGCTCGACAGTGTGGGCTGCCTTCAGCGGCAGGGCAGCAGATGGCCGCCTTGCAAAAAGAGCTGGGGGAGATGCGCCGAGAAATGATCCGGCTGACAGCCTCCAATGCGGCTATGGAGGCCGAGCTTCGATCAGCCAAGGCCGAGCTCGCCGCTGCTCGTGAGGGTCGACCCCGAGCCTCGCAGCCAGTGGAGGCCGACATAATCGGCCTGGTGCGGCGGGAGATGGCTGCGTTCCAGCAGCGTTTTGACGTGCTGGAGAGCAGGATCCTCCGCCCCCCACTCGCAGGGAGTCAAGCAGCACCGCGCACATTTGCGGCTGCGGCAGCTATGCCGACTACTCCTGGTCGGTCCAGCCGCGGTGTCCGGGCCCAACCGCCGGCGGCTTCGCCGGCGCAGGCTCCAGCTGAACCGGTGGTGAGGGCGTCAACAGTTCGTAGGCGACGGAGCGCCGTGGCTGGGCCGTCTACTGCCCCAGCTGTGGAGCCTACCCGAACTTCGGGTGCCCCTGCCAGCGACGGCGGATGGCAGGTGGTCGGAGAGGCGAGGAGGGTCGCCAAGCAAGGGCGAAAGCGCCGAAAAAAGGAGCAGCGGCAGAGGCAGCGGCAGCGGCGCAAGGAAAAGCGCGCTGCGGCAATGCTTGTCGCCCCTAAAACCGCGGCTGTAGTGATAACTCTACAGCCGGACGCGGTCAAAAGAGGCGTGACATATGGCGACATCCTCGCCAAACTGAAGCGGGCGGTAACTCCCGCGGAGTACGGGGCCCCTAACGGGTTCTCTTTGAAAGTGACGGCGACTGGAGCCCGTTTACTAGAGGTCCCCGGCGCGACCAGCGGTCCAACCGCTGACGCTCTAGCCGAAAGGCTCAGAGTGTGCCTTGGTGCAGACGAGGCTCGCGTGTCAAGGCCAACTAAGTGCCTGGAGTTACGTATAATGGGCCTGGACGACTCCGTGACGGAGGAGGAGGTCGTGGCCGCGGTGGCCAGGACGGGTGAGTGTCCTGCCGAGCAAGTTAAGGCCGGCACCATCCGTGCAGATAATTCGGGGTTGCGAACGGTTGTAGTGAGCTGCCCCGTCTCAGCGGCCAAGAAAATAAAGGAGGGTCGAAGGCTCCTGGTAGGCTGGGTCTCGGCGCAGGTCAAACTGCTCGAGGTCCGACCTATAAGATGCTACCGCTGCCACGTAGGTGACCACGTGAGCGCTAGGTGCACCTCGGAGGTAGACCGCAGTGACTGCTGCTTCCGTTGCGGTCAGCCTGGTCACAGAGCCGGCTCGTGCTCTGCCCCGCTGCACTGTCACGCATGTGCGGCGGTTGGTAAGCCGGCCAATCACCGGGTCGGGAGCAAGGCCTGCTCCCCTCCTGCCAAATCCAGGGGCAAGAGTAGGCCCTCCGCTGCCCCCGTCAGTCCCGCCGCCGCCGCTGCAGTCGCCACTGCTACCGTCGCCGCGGCCACCACTGGCTGTAATGCCGTCAGGGAAGAGGCTGGGATGGATTGCCAATAATAGCTCCATTCCGCCTCCTTCAGGCGAACATCAACCACTGCGCCGCCGCTCAGGATCTCCTGCTTCAGAGCATGGCGCAGTGGTCAATAAATGTCGCTGTGGTCTCCGAGCCGTATTTTGTCCCGCCCAGGGATCATGGGTGGCAGACTTGGACGGCTCGGTGACCATCATCTCGTCAGCCGCCGCCGGAACCCCGACTCTCGAGGCCGTTCAGAGAGGCCGGGGTTGTGTCGCAGCACGGTTCGGAGAGATCGCTGTGGTGGGCGTGTATTTCTCTCCGAACCGAACTCTCGCCGAGTTCCACAACTCCCTGAGGGAGTTGGTCGCCGTCGTTGTCGGGTTCCGTTCCCTCCCCGTGCTCGTCCTCGGGGACTTCAATGCCAAGAACTTGGCTTGGGGTTCCCGGTTTACTGACGTTCGGGGTAGGATGGTGGAAGACTGGGCCCTTGAGGCAGGCCTAGTCGTCCTGAACCGGGGTTCTGTCCCCACGTGCGTGCGGATGCAGGGCGAGTCGGTGGTGGACATTTCGTTCGCTAGCCCTGCTCTGTCACCGCGTGTTGTTGACTGGCGCGTCATGGAGGAGGTGGAAACGTACTCCGACCACCGGTATATCCGGTTTAACGTCTCCACCGAGTCCGCGGACCCGCTGGTCAGACAGGCCCCATGTGGCCCGCGTTGGGCGCTGAGACAGCTGGACCGGGAGCTATTCCTTGAAGCCGCAATCGTGCAGGCCTGGGTGATACCACCGGACAGGCCTGCCGACATCGATGAGGAGGCGAGGTGGCTCCAGGACGCCATGTCCAGAATCTGTGACGTGGCGATGCCCCGGGTCCGGCCAGGTCAGCGCAAGCGCCAGACGTACTGGTGGTCGCAAGAGCTGGCTGCTCTACGCAGTGCATGCACTGCTGCGCGACGCCGGTACACCAGGCACCGCAGGCTTCGCATCCGTCCTCAGGACGCAGAGGTCAGAGAGGCGGAGTTGTACGAGGGGTACAAGGCGGCGAAGGCCACCCTCAAAGCGGAGATACGGCGGGCCAAAGAGAATGCCCTCCAGGAGTTCTTGGAGACTCTGAACAGAGACCCGTGGGGACGCCCCTATCGGATGGTGCGGGATAAGCTCCGCACATGGGCTCCCCCGCTGACTCAGAGTCTCCGGCCAGAGGTAGTGGAGGAGGTGGTCGGCGCCTTGTTCCCCCGACTACAGAGGGGTTTCACCCCTCCGTCCATG